TCTGCCTCCTGAGTGCTGGGATTAAAGGTGTGCGCCACCACGCCTGGCTTATTCAGTTTAACAACACTAACAGTACATATGCACAACAGCAGAATGGTTTTGCAATGAATCACTAATCAAAACCTGACTTTAATAGCTTCCAAGTGAAAAATACTGAATAGCAAAATTTCAGGAGTTGGTAAGATAGCTCAGCTGGTAAAGGTGCTTACTGCCAAGCCTAATGCCTAACAACCCACATGGTGGAGAAAAAACTCCTAAAAGTTGTTCTCTGATCTCAACACACACTATGGTATGAATGCAACCACACTAAATAAATAAACAAATGCAATTTAAAAATTAAAATTTCAAGGTAATGTTGGCCAAGTATCTGAAAATAACCAATGTGTTTTAATGTGTTAGTTCTAGTTCAGACAAATTTAAAAAAGAAAGTTTGCAGGTACGATTTGAATCTGATTCTTTAACAAGCATTATGGGAGACACCAATACATAGGTTTTTTTTGTTTTTGTTATCCTTGGCCTCTTCGGGAAGGGAACATGGCAGATATGGTGGCATGTGGAGGTGGCCCACTACCAAGAGACAGTAGTTTTTGAAAAGCATGGTAATTCTACACTTTGTAATAAACACTACTGAAACTAATAGACCCATTAGAACCAAGTCTGAACACATTTAAAGGGATTGAAATAATACACAGTAAATTTTCTAACTATTATAGAGTAAAAGTAAAAGAAAATTTAAGATATCCACAAGTATGGAGAAATTAAGCAATATCATCCCAAGTAACCAATAGTTCAAAAGAGAAATCACAGAGAGAAAGAAAATAATTTGGGCTGAACAAAAATAAAATACAAACACAGCATACCAAAACTAATGAAATGTAATTAAGCAGCACTCAAGGGAAAATTACAGCTGGAAATGTTGTTCTGAAAAATAAAAACCTTATGCCAGGTATGGTGGCTCAAGACTGTAATCCCAGCAGTAGGAAGGGCTGAGGCAAGAGGATCAGATTTCAAGGTGGGTCTTGGGTACCCAGCAAGTTTGAGGACAGCTTGGGCACTACAGACGCGCTGCCTCAAAAGCAAATCTAACTAGATAGGCTGACTAGACCTCAGTGGATGGACTTGCACTGGGGAACGGCAGGGGACACTGACTTGACACAGTGGGCCATAACAGAGATGACAAAGTATATGGGCTCTAGTGGGGAGGCTATGGGAGGGTGCCAGTGGGACGGGGTAAAGATGATCAAGACTGATTGAGATGTTCTGTATTAAATACACAAAAATTAAATAAAAACATTTAAAAAACCAAAAACAAAAATAAATTTAAAAAACCTAAAATAACCTTCCATCTTAAGATAATATAAAATGGGCAAATCAGTTGAGTACAGTAGTGCATGCCTATACTCCTCAGCCCTTCAGAGGTGACATAGGAAGAGCACAAGTATAAGGCTAATGTGGGTTTCCTCTCAAGATCTTGTTTCCAAAAACAAGAAGCAAGCTAGGGATGCAGCTCAGTGGTACAGCACTTGTCTAGCTAGTATGCACAAGGAAAAGAGGGGGGTGGAGGGGAGAAGGGGGAGGAAGAAAAGAGGAAGAAGAAGAGGAAGAGGAGGAAGACAGAGAGGGGGAGGAGGGGGGAGGAGGGAGAGGAGGAGGAGGAGGAGAAAGAGGAGAAAGCAGAGCAAACAAAACCAAAATCAAGTAGAGGGAAAGAACATTATAGCAAAAGTTAATGAAAGGCTAACAGAATTGACAAACCATCAGCTAGACTAAGGAAAAAAGGGGGAAACAATCAATTAACAAAAATAAAAATGGAAAAATATGAACTATGTGCCCCAAAATTTGATAGCTTAAATAAAACACATTTTCCAAACTCCCCAAATGACTGAAGATGAAAAAGAAAAATCTAAATATATCTGCAGTAAGTGACTGAATTAAGAATTTTATTTTATTATACTTTTTGACAGGGTCTCCCTAACCCCAGCCTGCCTAGAACTCACTATGTAAACAAGGCCTGGCCTCGATCTCACAGAGATCTGCCTACCCCTGCCTCCCAAAGGCTGGGATGAAAGGTGGGCACAACCACGTCTGGCACTGAATTAAGAATTTTTAAACTTGACCAGAGATAATCCAGGCTAAATGATTTTAATGGTGATGACCACAGGGTTGAAAAATATTCATATTCCTTACAAACTCTTCTCAAAATATAGAAAAGGAGGACTATTTACCAACTTATTCTATGAGGCTAAGAATCACCCTCATACCAAATACCTCTGATGCATATAGACAGAAATCAACAAATACTAGCAAGCCAAATCAGCACCATTTACAGAAGGATTATACAGCATGACCGAGTGCAACTTAGTCTACAAATAAAACTGCTTATCTGCAAATCATCCTTTCCTCTTTGACATTCTCATTGTGAACAGCATATCCACTCCTACCCTACTCTGTTTCTTTAAGCTGGTTTGTTTTTCTTAATGTCAATCTTATCTCGCACTATGTGTTCACTTTTTTCTTATTATCCTCCTGATGTCTGGGAAAATTTGACATTTGGATAGGTCTTCAACAAGTATTTTTTTAGTTAATGATACCAACTACATAAATTACAAAAACATTTTGTCTCAATTCCTACATTGCAAAGCATTACTCACCCAAGTTCTTCAGGTTTGGTTGTGCTTGCTGACAGAAAAAAAGAACATCTCATTAGTCCATCCTAAATGAAAAATTGCTGCACTATTCGTCTAAGTAAAACCTTGACTAATTGCTTCATAAAAACATACTTGCCAACCACAGATTGTGTTGGGAAGAAGTTTGCTACAGTTTGCTCAGAACAGAGAAGCCAAAAATGAGTGTTATTTCTATTTTTTCAATTAAACAGTAAGTATGCATTTATTTTTTAAAGATTATTTATCTTATTTTATGTGACTGACTGTTTTGCCTGCATGAATGTAGTGTACCCAGGGAGGCCGGAAAACGGCATCAAATCCCCTGTAACTGCTTAAGGACAGTTGTTAGCCACCACATGAGTGCTGGAAACTGAACCCAGGTCCTCTGCAAGAACAGCCAGTGCCCTTAACAGCTGAGCCATCTCTTGAGCTCCCAGATTTATTTTATTTTTAAAATTATGTGTGTGTGTGTGTGCATGTGAGTGCAGGTACCACAGGAGGCCTGAAGTATCAGATGTCCCTAGAGCTGGAGGTACATAAAGGTAGAGGCTGTGAGTCATCCAACATGGTTGCTGGGAATCAAACTTGGATCCTCTGGTAGAGCAGTATGGTTCTTAACCACTGTGCCATCACTCCAGCCAACACCTATTCTTTTTTAAAAATTTTTTACTACATTTAGCTGGGCATGGTGGCACACACCTGTAGTCCCAGCACTTGGGAGGCAGAGGTAGGTGGATCTCTGTGAGTTCAAGGCCAGCCTGGTCTACATAGTGAGTTCCAGGACAGCTGGGGCTTACAGGGAGACCCTGCTTCAAAAAGACAAAAAAAAAAAAAAAAAAATTTTTTTTACTACATTTAATAGGACTAGAGAGGCAGTTCAATGGTTAAGAGTACTTGCTGCTCCTGCAGAGGACCTAAGTTTAATTCCCAACATCCACATGATGACTAACAACCATTCTTCACTCTAGTTAAGGGGTTCAACTCTGTCTTCTGACCTCAGTGAGCATGGCATGCATGTGGTGCACTTACATACATGCAGGCAAAACATATATACATAATAAAAAATTTATTTAAAAATACTTGAGAGAGAGAGAGAGAGAGAGAGAGAGAGAGAGAGAAAGCACAGATCAGAGGACAAGTTGTGGGAGTCAGTTCAGTTATCTTGTTTCAAAACCATGTGGGTCCTAGAGATTGAACTCAGGTTGTTAGGTTAGATGGCAAGCAACTTTACTAGACTGCCTACTATCTATTCTTTTAACCATAATGTTCTGTAAGCCTCCTGGAGTAAGGTGGCTGATTCTGAATTACCATTAGTGGAAAAGAAGAGGTAACAGTTTTTAACCATCGTCGAATTATTTTAATTTATAGCCATGTATTTTCATTTAGTCATACCAAAAATTACAAGCATAAATCCATTTTTAAAAAATATTGCCACACATCAGACCATGGTAATTTTTGGACAACTGGTGATGAGCTTTGCAGCAAACATGCTTAAAATTCAATGTGTGTTTTAGTAGAAATCCAAATTTGAAAGCAAACACAAGCTTTAATTTATTTGTTAAATGGAACCATGTTCTTCTTATATAGCTGAAATATCTTAAATAGTAGGCAACATTTATGAATTTGGAAATATCTATGCATAACATATACTGATAATTAAAATCAAAATTTTTATTTAGTATAATTGCTAGTATTAAATTACAATACAGAATATTATTTATTTTTATATTATTTATTGTTGAGTGTGTAGATGTGTATGTGCTATGGTGTGCATGTGGAAGTCAGAGGAAAACTTGCAGGAGTCTGTTTTTTGATTCTACCATGTGGGTCTTGGAGATTGAACTCAGGTCATCAGGCTTGGCAGCAACTGCCTTTAACTAGTGGGCCATCTTGCTGGCCCAGTATGGAATAACTTTTACCTGAAAATTTATTCATCAGGGCTGGAGAGATGGCTCAGCAGTCAAGAACTCTTTTATGCTCTTTTAAAGAGCTCTTTATATTCTTTTAAAGTACGTAGGTTCAGTTCCCAGTACCTACATTAGGCTGTTCACAATGGTCTGTAACTCCAGTTCCAGAGGATGTGACATCTTTTCTAGCTTCTGTGGGCACTGGCACTCAAACACAATGAATACACATACACATAAATAATAAAATATTACTAAATTTGGTCAGGCGTGGTAGTGCACACCTTTAATCCCAGCACTCGGGAGGCAGAGGCAGGCAATCTCTGTGAGTTCAAGACCAGCCTGGTCTACATAGTGAGTTCCAGGACAGCTGGGGCTACAGGGAGACCCCATCTCAAAAAGACCAAAAAAAAAAAAAAAATTACTAAATTTAAAAAATTATTCATTGTATACAAACACTAAAAAATATTCCAAAGGGGACTAAGATACTCTATTATGAGATCTGAAAATCAAGAGACACAATACTGCTCTAGTACACAAACACTAAAATAATCAGCGCAAACAAAAACACTGTCCAGAACACCATCTGAATTGAGATTACTATAAAGCTTATGGAATTTATTACACCAGAAGAGTAATTTAGTTAACTGAAATAGAGCTAAGAAGATTCAGACAAGGGCCCCTCCAGTAAATAATAAGAACCAGTACACGACAGACAGTCAAGGAGAACATTTCTTTGAAACACCACTTTACCTTTCATTTGCAGGGTTCGTCGAGAGTATCGTTTGCTGGGTCTTCTTTCAAAGGATGTTGATCTTCTTGCTTTATTAGTTTTTGTGGTCTGATACTCTGTTTTTCCACTAAAATAAAGGAGGTACTTTAACATAACACAATCTGAGGTCCAGAGTAACCAGACATATAAGAATCAGAGGGTGCCTACATCCAAACTGCCCTTCAAAGAAGCATCCTGCTTCAACCCGAGGGAACTATTAAAAGTTTCCTTGTCCTTTTTTTTTTTTTTTTTTTTTTTAAAACCATATCTTTGTTTTATTCTGTAGGCTTTGGTGAAATATGCAAACTAATTATACTGGACTTTTATTAAACATGATCATCACCTACAAACATACTAAACAATGTAGAACCCGCATGCTCTCTGAGAACTCCCCTCCCCTTTCTGATCCACATGCATGTATAATTAAAATTAAGAATTCCTGTTATTTTTTTCTTTTTGTGGTACTGTTGATTAAACCCAGGGACTTGCACTTGCTATACGAGCACTACCACTGGGCTACAGCCTCAGCCCCAACTCTAGTTAGGTTTTCTAATTCTGATATTCTTTTCAGAATGGTTTTCCAGGAACATAATTTAAAACAACTATTCTGCTTCTTTGATCCATCTAAGTTGTTAAGAAAGTGCCTTCCCACTTTTAACATGGGTCAAATGGCACGTTCTTTGAGTTCTCCATGGATGATTGGCATTATCTAGTCCTTCTTTAAATGGGCTCCATGCTATGCTGAGAACTCAAAAACTCACCATCTACTGAAATGTAACATAAACTGAAACATTTTAAACTCATAACAAGGAGTCTATAAAACCAATGGATTTCAAGTTTATAAAGGACTATAACTATTCACATTCCATTATCTCATTCAGTGCAAGACATCCTATTTCTATATGGTAACTACTTATTTGATGGAGAATGTATAAAACTCTTGCTACGTGATTTAAATTGGGATTTGGCTATTATATAAAATATTAAGCGGGATTATAAGTCATTAACTGTGATTTCCCATCCAGTCAAGAAATAGACAACACTACTACTTTTTTGTTGTTTAATTTTTGTCAATGAAGACTTAAGCAATATACTTTATTTCTCTATGCCTCAGTTTCTACCTCAGTAAAATGAAAGAGTTGGCCTAATGTTTTTTGGCCTGTATGCAGGAATGGAAGATGTCTAAAGTTATGAAAACTGACCTGTATCTAAATCGTGATCCTAGTCGAATAAATCCTGAACGATGAGAACTCTTCTGGACAGGTCCCCGGAGGCGGAAGAACGCATGATGCTCCACAGCACACTTCCATAAGTGTTTGCAGGCTTTTGGATGCTCTAATCTAAAGACAAAGGTATGCTCTTGCTCCTTGCCCTGAAAAAGAAAAAGATGTGTTTATTAAGTCAGCACCAACGCCTCCTATTCTACCATACAGATACAACCATGGCGGTATCAAGAAGCAGTGAGGGGTGGTGGTACATGCCTGTAACCTCATCACCCAGAAGGATTGCCACCAGGTCAAGGCCAGAATCACTTACATAGCAGGCCAGTTAGACTATAGAGTGAAACCTTGTCAAAACAAAAAAAGTAAATAATAAAGCATCTGTTTGCTCTCTGAAACTTTTAAGGAGAGGCACAGTACTGGCCACCTAGTCTTGACAAATGGGTGAGCTCCTTCAAGGAGAGATCCTCTCTCAAAAAAATAAGGTGGAGAAAGATTAAGGAAGAATCAACGCCTGGCCTATGCACAAACATATGCATGCACAAGCACACATATGCACCTGCATACAGACACTTGCACTTAGATGTGTACATACAACACACACAGACACATAGGAAAAACCCAGAAGTACACCATGTGCTAGAACACATCTTCACCTACACAATTTTAAAGTATGTGGCAAAAGACATGTTAAAGGTAGGTATGTTGGTTCATGCCTATAATCCCTGGATTTGGGAGACTAAGGCAGGAGGATCATGTAAATTTGAGGCTAGCCTGGGTTATGTTGTGAGTTTAGGCTAGCCTGGGCTACATACACATGTTAAAAGACAAAAAAAATTAAATAAAAAACAAAAGAAAAACCCCACAAGATAAAATATTCACATTTTAATTTACACCACACCAGGGATAAATCGGTAAGAAAAAAAAAGTCAACATAAAAGAAACACGAGCAAAAGATGTGAACAGGTTGAAGACAATTTAGATGACTCAAAATATGAAAAAATGTTTAATATCAGTTGCAGTTTATAAATAAAAATTGAGCCAACTATGAAATCCTATTTTCATCTTTTAGCCAAAAATATTTGATAACTCCTCTGAGAAAAAATGGATTAGTACACTAATAACAGTATAATCTAATAGGGCCTCTCTCTATCCAGAGCAAATGTATAGAACTTTGACCTAGCAAATGTACCTCTAGGAATTATGCTACAGATATCCTAACTAGCAAACTAACTCATGTATATAGTGGATGATTATCAATTAATTGGGGATTGATTATTGCCGGGCATGGTGGCACATGCCTTTAATCCCAGAACTTGGGAGGCAGAGGCAGGTGGATCTTTGTGAGTTCGAGGCCAGCCTGGTCTATATAGTGAGTTCCAGCACAGCTGGGGCTACAAGGAGACCCTGTCTCAAGAAGACAAAAAAAATTTTAAATTTAAAAAAGTTTGTAAGTGCAGATTATCCTTAAAGGACCATGCTGGGGGTGGGGTTGTGGCTCAGTGACTCCGTACCATGCACAAGACCCTGGGTTCAATCCCCAGCACTGCAAAAAAAAGCCAATGTAAAAGCTCTTGTCACTCATTCTAATGAACATCTCATGGTTTATTGTTTCAAATAAGAATAAAGAAGCAATTTATGTATGGATGTGAGAATATTCTAAACTATAAAAGAGATATAGTATAAGCATGCTAATGTCTGCATAAAATTGGCAAACACATTTGCTTGGATACAAAAAATATCCTTAAAAAATATCTAAAAAGCTAACATACTAGCTGATCAAGTGTAAAATGCAACCAGGTGTAACATGTACTATAAATATTTGTGCTAATTATTTTTTAAAAATGCTGCATCCTACCATACTGGTGTCTGCTTGAAGCCCAGAGGCAGGAGACTCACAAGTTCAAGTCCAGCCTGGGCTGCGTAGTGAGGCCTTGTCTCAAAAAACAAAGGGAAACAAAAGAACAAGTGTTACCAATTAAATTATGACCATATTTTTCTAAAACAAAGGATTGTGTCTTATTCTTCCTAAAAGACTGCTCACATCTATGCTTATATAGAAAGGCAAGTATACCAGGTGTGGTGGCACACACCTTTAATCCCAGCACTTGGGAGGTAGAGGCTGGTGGCTGTCAATGAGATCAAGGCCAGCCTGGTCTATAAAGCAAGTTGTAGGCCAGTAGGGGCTATATAGTGAGACCCTGTCTCAAAAGAAGGAAAAAGGGAAATATTAGTAAAATAACTTATTCTCACATTCAAAATCTGCCTCTTTGGGTGCAGGCAAGACGGTAAAGCCACTCGCTACCAAGCTTCACAAATCAAATTCAATCTCTGGGACCCACATGGTGGCAAGAGAGAGCACTCCTGAAAGTTGTCCTCTGGCCTCTACACACATGCCATAAACATGCATATACATACACACAAATAAATGTAATAAAAATAAAAGTTAAGTTTGCTTTTGGGGGCTAGAGTGCTGGCTCTGTGATTAAGAGCAGGTACTGCTCTCCCAGAGGATGTAAATTCAGCTCCTAGCACCCACATCAGGTGGTTCACAACTGCCTTTAACTCCAGTTCCTGGGGATCCAATGCCTCCGACCTTCAGGGTGCCTATACTCATATGAATATACAGATACAAACATATATACATAATTAAAATTAAAAGCAAGTCATGGTCAGGCATGGTGGCATACAGCTTTAATCCCAGAAATCAAAAATCTGCTTCTCTGGAAATGATTTTCAACTTGTTTGTTAATGGTATTGATCAGAATCTGTGTCAATAAAGAGATTTCTTTTTAAAATAGTCCACGCCTCATTCTCTTACTTTCATCCAAGTTATGTGATTGGGCAATCCTTTGTAGCTATCTCAGTAATAAAGCTAAACTTTAAAACTTATCACTGTTTCATCTCCTGTCCTGGAACTTACAGAGATCTGCCTGCCTCTGCCTCCCGAGTGCTGGGATTAAAGGTGTGCGCCACCACGCCTGGCATTTTTAGGCTTTTTAAAAAATTGGGTAGCTAAGTCAGGAATGGTGGCACATGCCTTTAATCCCAGTACTCAGGAGTCAGAGACACACAGATCTCTGTGAGATCCAGGCCAGCCTGATCCATACAGCAAGTTCTAGGCAAGCTGGGCCTGCAGGGAGACCCTATCTCAAAAAACAAAAATAAGCAAAGAAAAATCATACTTAGAGCATTTGCATCTTCTGTGGTTTGGCCTTTATTTTATGAAACATGTTTAAGAAAATATAAAAAAGGAAGAAATCAGAATCATCAGAAACTGAAATTATCCTTCAAAAACAGATACAGTAGTTTCAAATCTACCTACTTTTCTGTGCAAAGTACTGAAAAAGAAAATAAAACCTCAGACATAACAATACTACCATTTCAAACATTATGAATCATAAAGTTTTCCTGTGTCATTTTTCTTAGTCATATATTATTCTAGTACATGAAAATCATACCATGAGCATACATGTCTATATACCTCTGCAGACTTGCCAAGATCACATACTCCTAACTTGCCACTAACCAAACATATTTCTCCACTGGACATGCTTACTGTACTCAAATTCTCCGGGGAATATGAATTTTTTTCATTTATCCTGAGAACAAAAAAGGCCTAAATCACATAAACTCTCAGGTTTGTATTTTGTAAATGAACAAAAGAAAACAAAGGCATACTCACTGAGGAGTGCTTCCTATTAAACAATCTTCTGATAAACTTTCTTTGATTTTACTAATGTCCACAAACTCAGAAGTTTTTACAAAGTGGCTAGTCTAACCCCCAAATTAAAAACTTTGAGAAAAGGGCTGGAGAGATGGCTCAGTGGTTAGGAGCATGTACTATTCTTCCAGAGGACCTGAGAGTCCCAGAACCCATTTAGGCTGCTCATAGCAGTGTATAATTCTGGTCTGCACTAACATGCACCAACCCACACTCAGATACACATACATACATGTAATTATGAAATAAAATTAAAAAGTAAACAAAAAGTAAAAACTTTGAAAACAAATTATAGTTATTTAAGTCTTTACCTCAAAGTAAAAGGTACATTTTTCCTCTTTTGCCAGTTATAGTTAATTAGATCTATATATATCTTTAATAACCACTAAGAATCATAAAAAGGCTACTATCATAATAAAGTATACTATTTACCTGGTATTAGCTTTTTCCTTATTAATACTTATACTGGGACATTTTCATATAGTAACTTTATGAAAGCAACAGAAAATGACCACCAAAAGAAATGAAAGAAAACATAACAAATGTTAGTATTTAGAACTATGAAAAGAAGTCAAATTCAAAACAGTAAGATTCCATTATTAAAAGTAAAGATTTAAAAATCTAATACTGGCCAAGATTCAAAAAAATTCATATAATTTGACTTTTGCTTACTGTTTATCACATTTTATATAAACATAACCAAAATGCCTTACTTCTAACAGTGAGGATGAAGAGGAAAAGTGAATTAAAAACCAAGTGGAAGCATGTCTGCATCTGACAAAAGCTAGGGGAAACACCATAAAAAGCATGTTAAAATGGGAAGAGTACGGGTTGGAGAGATGGCTCAGTGGTTAAGAGCACTTGCTACTCTTGCAGAGGGATCATGGTTTGTTTCTCAGGATCCACTTTAGTCAGCCTGTAATTCCAGCTCCAGAAGACCTGACATCCTCTTCTAGCCTTTATAGGCACTGCATTGACATGAACATACCTCCCTCCCCCACACAAACGCACATCATTAAATTAAAAATATATCTTTTAAAAAATGAGACAAGTAACACTGAAATTATCTAAAAAGGAAAATTAACAAAAATTAAAAACATAGCGTTTTATTATAAAATATTTAAACACATAGAAAAACTGAGTGGTAATATACATACCATGTAGATGCAAAAGTCATTAACATTTTGCCCAATTTCCTTTCTCTACCTGTTGTCTTTAAATTTATTAACTGGTAAGACTATTTTGGGTATAAAAATCTTTGAGTGTAGACAAAGCCTAATCACCATCAAAATCAGGTTACAGAACAGTTCCCATATATGTAAAATGTCCCCTACTCTGTCCTTCTGTGCTTGAACTTCTCTGAACGCCTCATCCCAAGTAGCGATCTACTCTTCATTCCTCTAGGCTCATCTTTTCCAGAATGTCATGTAAGTGGGATCCTATGGCACGTAATCTTGAGTCTGGCTTTTTTACTTAGAATAATGGATTTGAGTCACACCTGTGTGTTAATCAGGAATTTTATCTTAACTGATAAAATGATAATTTTCACCTCCAAGGCTTTATTAAAGAATAACATTAAGTGGATCTACAGGGAAACAGTCACTCAAATCTAACTTTTTTTTCCAGTTAATTATTTATTTAATAACCACATGCTTAGAAGCATTTCATTACAACAGCATTAACATAGTCAATAACAATTTTCTAAGCTAAGATGCATCTTTTTCAAAATTGGCTATAAATTTTTTAGGTTTACAGATGAATTATTACGCTTATATAATCTTTTACTCATTGTAAACTCTATAAGACATAAAATTAAATGAAGTTCCAACGTTTAAAAAAGATATCCACTTCGTTGTTAAATTACACAGTTTCATACAGAAAAATTCATTTTAAGGCAATTGACACTGAGATGTTTTCACATGCATTTCTAAGTTTCTAATCTCTATATATCTGATTATTACTAGTGGCAGTCGGTTACTTTCTGAGCTCCTTGGCATCTGAGCATGGATATAAAGTCATCAGGTAGATTAAATCTAACTTTTTTGTGCACTTCAGATATATTATTAACAGAGAAACAAGAACAAGCTTTCATGTTATCTTTAATCTTAATGACAGAATAGCATCATGTTTTAGGATGGTATGACCTGAATGAGGAAATCACTTCAAGTATGAGTACTACTAGGTTTTATTCTATGGCTCCCTATAACAATGAGCTATATCCCTCTTGCAGAGATAGAAGTTACAATACAACAAAGCTATTGTTAACTAACAGGATACAATTCCTACCTGATCATCATCTTCCACAACCACTAAAGTTAATTTATTCTTCTTAAAATCCAATCTGGTTATCTTGGGCCTAGAATAATATGAGATCAACAGCCTGATTAGGAAAACACATCTTTTTCTACATCAAGCATGTTTCATCAGTTTGACTTCTGAATTGAACATTGGTAAGAAGGTGAATGTAAGCAACATTGCTTATCAAAATACATCCAACAGAAAACACAAAAGAAAAAACACTTATTTCAAAAGCAGTAATTCTGAAAAAATTGACCCTGCTCAAAATATGTACATTTTATACACCCTAATTATTGTGTATCAAATTCTGTAGGCCTAGATAAAATTGTTTCAGGGTTAAATGGCATAGGGACCAAATACAGAAAAGAACATAAGTTTTTTAAAAAAGGACACAGAAGGAAATATTACTGTTTAAAGTCTTCAACTATATTTTCTACCAGAAACACCTGGATGTGAATCTGAGTTTGGGTAGGAAGGCTTTGAGCCAACGGTCTTGGCATGCTACAAAAAACGAATTAACACAGGCCCATCTTTACCTCTTTTCTGTCACATATTCCCAAGTTCTATATTAGTTCTAACACGAGCATAATAATGTAAACACTATCTCCCAATTCTAAGCTTTTAGAACACCAGTCAAAACCTGAAGGACTAAATTATGGTTATAAAATCTGTGTTAAAAAGCTGGAATACAAAAAGTGAAGCCACGCTCTAAATGAAGAATAAAAGTACTAACAGCTCCCTTCCTTTCATAGAAGAGGGTGCAAAGCACCACCCATGGAACAGAAATACTAAACATAGTGACAGAGCCACAGATAAGAATATATTGATATATTTAGCAAGTATATAAACATGTAATACATCTATTAGGACACACACTGACATACCTTGAAACCAATGGAAAATATACCTAGAAGAGTCTTAAAATTTGCCTCTGGAGAGTGAGATTAAAGATGATTAAGAGACAGAGGGGAGACAATTCCTTTGCATTTGTAAATTTTTCACAACTATTTTAATTAATTAATTAATATTTTATGTGTATGAGTGGTTTGCCTGTATATATGTAAGTGTACCAAGTGTGTGCAATACTTACGGTGGTCAGAAGAGGGCTGCATCCTCTAGATGTTTGGACAGTTATTAGCCACTGTGTGTGTTGGGAACTGAATCTGAGTCCTCTGCAACAGCAGCTAGTGCTCTTAACTGCTGAGTCACCTCTCTAGTCCTTTTTCACAACTATTTTATTTTCAAATTGTTATTTTATTCGTTAATGATATAAATGCTTTGACTCATTAAAAACAAAAGAAGATTAAGTACCTCTAAGATCAACTTTGCTTACCAAAAAAATAAGCCAATTTTGGTCTCTCCTTCAAAAACAAGGACTCCTGTTGGGGTTAGTCCCAAACTATAGTCATTGCCATCTCTAGCCTAATTTAAAGGGAAAAAATAAAATGCATTAGTTTTATTTATATGAAACAGGTTTCATGTTTTCACACAACTGGTTCTTTTATTTTCAGACTAAATGATATTAATTATATAAAGTCTAATATTATTATTCAAGAAACTCATATATATTATCATTTCAGAGAAACTCATACATATTATCATTGAGACACTACGCTGTAGTCTCATCTTATCCAAAGTGCCCAGTGGATGCCTGAAATCATGGAAAGTAACAAACCCTTCAGATACAAATGTGCCTGTCATCCATATATGTACCTATGATAAAGCTTAATTTATAAACTAGGCACAGAAAGAATTAACAGCTAAATAAAATAAAACATAATAAAAATTATATGACTATGGTCTATCTCTCAAAATATCTCATACTGTTCATTTCTGCAAATTTCCAGCTAATCCTTATGGATATTGGTTTATCATGAGTAACTCAGACCATGGAAAGCAAAAGCATAGCTAAATAATCTCTGTAGTAAGGTCCATCTTCACTGAACCCGAGTAGCTATACTTCCAGAAGAGAGAAGGTGCTTTTCAGATTCTTCCCATATTCTATTTGGTATTTACAAGTTTTGGAAAACATGGCTAGTTAAACCAGAGTAAGTTGGATGTGGGGGCTCATGCTTGTAATCACAGCACTCAGAAGTCTGAGGCAAGAGGATTGCTTGAGTTGAGGGCCAGGGTAGCCTGAGCTACAAAGTGAGATCCTGTCTTAAAAAAAAAAAAGTAACTCAAATCTTAACCCAAAGTTAAGATATTCTATACTATCAAAGTCCTCTTCAAGCTGTAGCGTTTCAAGCTTGCTTCCTGAACTATCTTCACAAGGTCTACTCAGTGCAGAGCTTCAGTGATGAAGAGAACATGAAGTAGCAAGAATAAAAGGTGGAGGGGGTATAAAGATGATTTTATGTATGAAATACACAAAAATTCAATTAAAAAAAATAAAAGGTGGTTTTCTTAAAAGCCAGTAATTTTTCATAGCTGAAAAAAAAATTTAACACCTTAGAAGCACTTACATTTTGTGGGAATTTTGATTGTTTTTCTTCTTTTATGTTGTTCTTTTCCAATGGAGTCTAGTGTTTCAATATCTGATTTCAAACATTTTTTTCCCTAACCATATATCCAAAGTATTCAGCGGTAGCCTCTACAAACATCACTCCTTCCTTTATACTGCAAAGTTTAGCTGCCTTAAAAATTTCAAAGGAATGAATTTAAAAAATATATATATTTTTATTACTTTTAAAATATGTGTGTGTCTGTGTATGGGTATGTATACATACAGGGACTGCATATGACTGCAGAGTCTAGAAGGGAGTGTCAGATCCTCTGGAGCTGGAGTCGCAGGTGGTCATGAGACATCTGACAAAGGTGTTGGGCATTGCACTTAGTTTCTCTACAAGGGCAGTATATACTCTTAACTGTTGAGTTATCTGTCTAGCTCCAGCTCTCCTGGAACTTGCTATGTGTTCTAGGCTGGCCTCAGAGATCCACCTGCCTCTGCCTCCTGAGTGCTGAGATTAAAGGTGTACACCACCTCACCTGCTGGGAATGAATTTTTAAAGAAGTACTACAACATAGGACTTACCTTGACCACATGCATATCAACCCCATACATTTCTAGCCATTTGGCTTTATTAAGATAATTGGTTTCAGCTTGTGCTGGAGTCTGACCTCTGAAATTAGAACACAGTAATTTAAACCTAAGTATAAAGTGAATTCTTTCCCAAGGACAACAAATAAACGAAAAATAACTATGATTATAGTTTAAAAACATGTGGTCAAATGACAAGTTACCTGTATTCCTTCCATTTCTCAAAAATAGCCAGTTCCATCTCTTCAGTCTGAATGGGAACAAATCTGAACTCAGAGACAAGTTCAGGACTATGTTCAGCAAGATCATAGTCGCCAAGTTCAGCTACAAATATAAGTTTAACAAAGTTATACTGCATTAATACTAATGAAATTCTTCTTTACATTTTATTTGGTAAGTAAAACTTAAGATCAGTAGGGTTCTTTCTTAAACTACCAGGCATTCATAATTTTTAGACCATTTCCCCAAATCTAGTTTAGACTTACAACTTCCCAGTATGTACATATAATCACATTCGCTGTTAGCAAAGTAATTTTAATTACATCTTTTTCCCTAATTTATTCATATCCTAATGCTTAACTTTTTGAAAATCAATTTCTGTACTTTCCATAGACGGATACCTTTTAACCTTTTAATGTTTTAAAAGAAAATTAGCTGATATCTATAAAACCTACTTAAGATACACAGAACATATCATAATTTAAGGTTATAGGGCCTGTCTGGGATATAAAATTAATACTAAAAAATAACAGAGATGAATGAATAATGAATTACAAACATTTGTATATTCATCTGTGCTTATCTCTCAAATGGGGGTTTAAAGAAAAAAGGGAAAACAGTGTGTTCAATTTTCTATAATGTTCTATGTTTTCTTCTAAAAGGGTATTTTACTTTCATAAAGAAAAGTAAAATGGGGAGGGGAAGAAAAAAAAGTAAATTGTTATTTTGACAAAAATTCCAACTGGGAAAGAGAAAAAGGTATGGAGAATTATCTTGCCATAATGAAAATAATGGTAACCACTCATTTCTTGAGTTCCTAATCTACTCTGGATGTGTATTTATTAAGTCCTAGGTGAATCAAACTTTTGTTACATATGACATATAAACCCTATTCTGTGTGTGTGCATGAGGTACATGTACTTGAGTGTGTGGGTGCTTGTGCTTATGCTTGACCATGAGGAGGTCAGAGCAGGACATCAGGTGCCTTCTTGTCTTATTGCTTTGAGATAAGGTGTCTCACTATTTTCTGCTAGGTGGCTAGCTGGCTAATGAGTGCTTCAGACAGCTTTGCCAAGTCTTTTCTTTCTTTTTTAACATTTATTTTAAAATTATATGAGTGTATGGTATGTGCACTTGAGTTCAGATGCTTGTAGAAGAGAGAGGAATCTGATCTGGATCCCTCTGGAGCCGGATATTCATCTGTGCTTATCTCTCAAATGGGGTTTAAGAAAAAAAAGTAGTTGTAGTAGTTGTGAGCTGCCAGATGTAGATGCTGAGAACTGAATTCTGGCCCTCTGCAAGTGCAATAAGTGCTCTTAACTGCTGAGCCATCTCTCCAGCCCCCTTTTCCAGCTTTTTGCTTGGGTGCTGGGGATTGAAACTCAGGTCCTAATGCCTGCAGAGCAAGCATCCTTGCCCACTGAGCCATCTGCCCAGACTCAAGTGAACACTTTGTGAACACTGTTGCATGTATTTTGACTGTCATGAGGCACAAATAGAATGCATGTAGCAACAATACTATGTTGCAACACATATTGAAAATGGTAACTTTATAATAGATTTAAGTAAATTTTTAGAATCTCACATAAGAAACAATCAGAGGCTGTAGAGATGGCTGAACAGTTAAGAGCACTGGAAGCTTGTGCAGAGGACTGGGTTTGGTTCCCAGCACCCACATGGCAGTTAAGAACCAGTCTCTAACTTCAGGTCCAGGGGATCAGATGCCCTCTTCTGGCCTCTGCAGGCAGTGCACATACAGGTGTACTTACATGTAGGCAAAACACTCATACATGTAAAGTAAAAATAAATAAAAAATATTAAAAAAAAAATTGGAGGGCTGGAGAGATGGCTCAGTGGTTAAGAGCACTGACTGCTCTTGCAAAAGACCTGGGATCAGTTCCCACCACCCACTTGGTGGCTACTAACTGTCTGTAACTCCAGTTCCAGGGGATCTGATGCCCGCATCTGTCCCCTGTGGGTACTGCATGACATGGGTGCACCTGCATATATAGACATAAAACTTATACACACAAAATTAAAAAAAAACTCATATCTAATCTGACATTATGCCAGCAAAAAAACAAAACAAGTTTTAATTTGGAGACAGACTAAGATAGTAAACCAAAGCAGATAAAAATTTCCACTAGTGAAACATTTCTGAAGTACAGAAATTTCCTTCTTTATGTTAACAGAATATGCTTTTTCCAATAATGGACATATAAAATGGCAAAAATATTATTTACCATAGAACATGAAAATTTAGTTTTACTATCTGTACAGTGGCAAACACTATTCATCTTAGAAGGATGGGAATAAATGTGGAATCCGAAAAAACCAAAGAATTAAAGTTTAGAGCATCATTAAATATTATTTTAATTCCAGCGTATATAGAGATATTCTCAGCAAGATTTCCTTTCAGTTTGTGAACTGAAATTACAGTTTTCCTTTAAAATGTCAATTTTTTAAAAAAAGTTTTAAGTTGAAAAATAAGCAACTAAACAAGGGACATGGGCAAGTTCCACATTAACCTTATTTATTAAACAACACTTTAAAGTGCCCAACAGGAGCTTTTAAATATGCTCTAACTAATTCTTCGTTAATTCATTTGTTGAAAAGATTAAAGAATGCAAGCCATGCAGCAAGAGCAATAATTTACAGTTACATCACTGCATTCTTCTTAAAGGAAAAAAAGCAACTTCGGGCCCAGTGTCAACATTTATTGAATTTTCAGGTAGACTGTTAGACTGCAATTAAAAAAAAAAAAAAAAAAACACTACAGATAAAGAGCAAAGAAGTGAGAGGAAAGGCAAAGAAGACAATTTTTTTTAAGACAATACTCTAAAACAAATCGAGGTAAAAGAGCTGGACACGGATCAATGTCACACAGAACAGTATTGCTTCTTTCTAGATTATCTGTAGAATTTCTGTAGAAATGTACACACACAGACACATACACAGATTATGCTTTAGTTTTAACAGTCAGCATAAGAATCACTTACCTTGCAGATTATAGGCTGCCAATTGCACTGCTGTATCAAAGGGACACTCTAATCTGAGATTAAAATACAAATTTGTTAAGTCAATTTCATAATCTTTAAGATGCATAAAAATAATATATATTTTATTTTGACCACCTATTTTTCACAACTCGCTTATTTGTGAGAAAGTATGTGTATAAATACATGCAGATGTGCTCGCCCGTGAGCGCACTTGTGGAGGCCCCAGGTCTATGTCAAGAGTCTTCCTCTGTCATTCTCCACCTTATATTTTGGAGACAGGGTATCTCACGGAACCTGGAGCTTGCTGTTTTGGACTGAGTGGCTGGCCAGTGAGTTCGGAGGATCCACCTGTCTCTGTACCCCTACTGCTAGAGTTACACATGTATACCACCACGCCTGGCTTCTACATGGGAGCTGCGGATACAAAAAGGACCTATATCCACTCAGCCATCCTCTGGAGCCCCATTCTGAACTTACTAAGTAATTTTTCAGCTACTCATTGCAGTTATGTTATAAATAGCTTAATACTCACTTTCCACTGAGAATATCTTGTTTTAACTGAAGAACAAATAAATACCTAAGAAAAATAAAAGGTACAAATTAACTAATTGGAATAATCTACTGTGAAAAAAGTCCTATTAGTCTCATTTAAGAATATTCTTGCCAGGCGTGGTGGCTCACGCCTTTAGTCCCAGCACTTGCGAGGCAGAGGCAGGCGGATCTCTGTGAGTTCAAGGCCAGCCTGGTCTACATAGTGAGTTCTAGGACAGATGGGGCTACCGGGAGACCGTGTCTCAAAAAGACCAAGGGGAAAAAAAAAAAGAATATTCTTAAATACAGAATTTTATCAAAAATAAAAAAAATGTAAAGGAAATACAGAAAAAAAAAAGGTATTAAGAAGAGGGTGAAATGAAAGCATGATCACAAAGTAAGAGAAAGAAGAGTAGGCCGCAGAGCACAGCAAAGCAACTGTAAGAGGAAATGTCGGAATCGCACCACGGAGAATGAGCCCTGTGATCGAACCCAACTTTGACAACACATCTACCTCCTATGGGAAGGGTATAAGTGCATATAGCCATAATCTCACTGCTTGGGAATTCAAGATGAAATCCTCGCCACACATCTCAACCTTTTCACTTAATGAATCTATGTATATGGATGGAGTCATACATGTATAATAAGGAGTCAGCGGATTAGTATCAAGGAGGTAGGGTAAAATAAAGACAAATGGATATAACCTAAAGAGTATTTAAAACTACACAAACCAAATTAGGATCTAACATTTTCATTAATCAATGGCATTTCAATGAGCACAGAGTGTCAGGAGACAACCTGACATAAGTGACAAAGGATAGATTACACTAAATGTCAATAAATATAAAATTGTAATATCAATTCTGTTTAAAATTCACAAACTGATAACAACACATTAAAAGGCTCATTAATTACCTTTGGAGAATGCTAGGAAATCAACCCTTCATTTTGACCAATAAAGGAAAAGAATCGTATATTTTAGTTATTTTTAATATTTTGAGACAAAGTCTCAAATTACAGTTCAGGCTGGCCTGAAACTCAGTATGTAGCCCAGAATGGCCTTGAATTCACAGTAATCCTCCTGCCTCAGCCTCCTGGGAACAGGCCTATAGGCATGAGCCACTACATCTGGCTAGAATCATACACTTTTGTTTTTTCTTTTTGAGGCAGGGTCTTCCTGTAGCCCCAGCTGGCCTGGAATTCACTATGTAGACCAGACTGGTGAACTCACAGACATACACCTGACTCTATCTCCTGAATGCTTGGATTAAAGGTGTGTGACACGACTGGCAGAATCATACACTTTAAAAATCCTGTTTCACAGGACCCTGGTAGTGCAGGCATTATGACCAACTACTGATAAATGGGACCTCATGAAATAAACAAGCTTCTGTACCATGAAATAAACAAGCTTCTGTACAGCAACAGACACCATCATGCAAAGGAAGAGGTAGCCAACAGAATGGGAAGAAAATCATAACCAGTTGTACATCTGACAGAAAGTATCTAGAATAGACAAAGATCATAAACTAAACATTGAGAAACAAGTAACCTAATTAAAACATGGAGTATAAAATTAAACAGAGAGTTCTCAAAAATGCTATACAAATTAAAACAACTTTGAGATTTCATCTCACCCCAGTCAGAATGGCTAAGGGTAAAAAAAAAAAAAAAGAAAAAAAAATGATGCTGACAAATGCTGGCATGGATGTGGGGAATCAGTGTGGAGCTAGAAACAGATCTACCACATGATCCATCTATACTACTCTTGAGCATATACCCAAAGGACTGTATATCCTACTACAGAGAGATTTGCTCATCCATGTTCACCACTGCTGTCTCAATTAACAATAGCTAGGAAATGGAAACAACCTAGATGTTCATCAACTGACGAATGATAAATGAAGATGTGGTACATTTACACAATGGAATATTATCCAGCTGTTAAAAAAACTAAAATTATGAAATTCACCGGTAAATAGATAGAGCTGGAGACAATCATTCTGAGTGAGGTAACCCAGACTCAGAAAGACAAATGTTGCATGTTTTCTTCTCATTTGCAGATCTTCAGATATGTGTGTTTCATATGGAATACTCACAGAGGCAAGGAAATTAGTAAGAAGCCATGGGAGGGGTGCTGTCAAGGATGGGGAGGTAGAATACAGTGGTATAAAGGGGTAAAGAGGAATAATGGAGTAGTAAGGGGTAAATGGGGTGGGAATGGGAGGAACGAGGAGGAAATACGAGGAGAGATAACTATCACTAAAGACTTTTTCAAAAAGTCATATGGAATCCTGCTACTGTACAATCTTCTATATATATATATGAGTTTAAATGAAGTTACCCTTTAATGGGGCAACAATGCCCTACCAGACACTACAGGCTAACAAATAAAAAGCCCAGTGCCAGGAATGAGTTACCTCTTTTGGAGTTGTTGGCCAGTGAGGTTTCAGAGGACCCCCAAATATTACAGGCTAATACCATTGGTCTTGTTTACCTTCCAGAACCTGATGGTAAGACCCTACTGTAGAAGACACCATATATTCAAGTCATAGAACATGGAGAAATCAAGCTGGTACTGTCCTGGAAGCTTCACCTCTACCAGCTAGCTTTCATAGTGCTGGACGGTGCTATGTACACTACCAGAGGAAAAAAAAGTCATTATTCTTAACCAGGTATGGGCCCTGCAAGCTATAGTGACTGGCCTGGCAAGACAAATCCACTGGAACAACAGTGGCATGAATATCATGGAGTAACCCATCACTTTCTGATTAGGTTTAAGGCCCATTCTACAAGAAGAATCTGGCAAGGTTATTGAAGCTAAGCACCCATGGCTAGAAAGGTCACAGGCCCTAAGGAGAGCTTACTACTATTATTCCTCTAAATGGACACAGTAATAAACTGACCCCTAATGACTTATCATTATACCCATAGTTTAGTGCATCTTTCAGCCTTCACCAGGGAAGCTTCTTTTTACAGTAGATAACAATTAACAGAGACCCACAACTGGTCAGGGTGCAGAGAATAAGAGACTACAGAATGCTCAGCCCTAAATGGGACATCTATATCATACTCTCTCCCTGCAAAGCTCAGGGATCATTGCAGAAGGGATGAAAAGACTGTAAGAGCCAGAGGTAGTAGACAACTATAAGGAAACTGTTTTCTGGACACAATAGGAGAGTTGCACATATGAACTCATAAGGGTTCTGACAACATACATAAGACCTGTGCAAGTTCAAGCCAGATAAAAATCAAGCATGGCAAGGGGAGGTGGGCATTTAGTCCTACCCCTAGCTGAGGAGCTACTGGTAACTGACAGCTGCTGGGAGAGCTTTGAGGGTGTGGTCCCTGGTATGTCAGCCTTACTCCAGTGGATGGTCACACAACCAAAAGTATACAGGCAGCACGAACTGAACTCAATGGGTTTAAACAAAGAAGAGGACAAAGGTGGCTGGGTAAGGGAGAGAGGGTGGATCTGGGAGGAGTTGGGATGAGTATCAAAATACATTGTATAAAATTCTCAAAGAATTTTAAAGATGAAAATAAAAAAATCCTATTCTAGAATAAAAATCTTTTGTCTGATTTCTTATTGCCAGGCCTAAGGAATCTACTAGCTATTTATAAACAGGAAAGAGTCCTAAAAAACAGCTTTCTAAAGTACAAAAATATTCCAACACAACCCTTAATAGTGGACTTACCGGGTTAGCTCCTCACGAAGATTATTTGGCTCTGAGGAATAAAACTTAACTCGAAGATGCAGACAATAGGGTGAACCAACTGCCATTAAAAGATAAAACAAAAACAAAAAATAAAACCCTTTAATTCTTATTAAAGCTATTTACTAATAATTTTTCAGCCAGTAAATTTGTTGAAAATTACTAATGTATAAAAGAAAAGAGCAGATTATTGTTGCCTTATTTCAGGGTAGATCATAGGCTTAAATTTGACACAAAAAGAACAATAGAGTTTTTAAATGTACCAACCATAATGCAGTATTATCACATTTCTCTGTCACCTCAGTACAGACCGTTCTAGATTAGTTATAACAATTCAGGGTCAAATGCATAATCTTAATGGTACAGTGAAAACCTGCTGAGCTACACTTCTTGAGATCACTGAAGAATGCCTATATTAATAAATGCACAAGGCCAAGCATCCCATGCTTTACAGTTCAGTCACAGCAATCCTGTCCCATTATTTGTAAGGAGTTAAACTGCCCTGAAATCTGATACTGTAAGGACAAGTTGGACTGTGGAATGGATACTGGTATTTTCTGGAGTACTGCTAGGAATAATACTGACATTTTATATTACTTCATTTTTTAGACCTTATTAATTTATTTACGGGGGTGGGGTCGTCTGCCATGGCTTGCATATGGAGGTTAGAAAACAACTTGCGGGAGTTCGTTATCTCCTTCTACCATGTGGAACCCAGGGATTGAACTCAGGTCATGCAGCTTAGCAGCCAAGTGCCTTTGCCTACTGAGCCATCTCTCCAGCTCATTCATTTCATTTTTATTATTTATTTATTTACTTATTTATGTCTTTTTGAAGCAGGGTCTCCCTGTAGCCCAGCTGTCCTGGAACTCACTACGTAGACCAGGCTGGCCTTGAACTCACAGAGATCCACCTGCCTCTGCCTCCCAAGTGCTGGGACTACAGGCATGCGCCACCACGCCTGGTTTTCATTTCATTTTTTAAAAAACTATTTTTAATTATGTATATGTCTATGTAGATATATGTATATATGAGTACACATGTCCACAGAGTCCAGAAGAGGGTGTTAGAGACCCTGGAACTGAGTTACAGGGGGCTGTGAGCCATCAGATGTGGGTGTTGGGAACTGAACTCAGGTCCTCTACAAGAGCAGTATGCACTGTTAACTGCTGAGCCATTTCTCCAGGACCACTTCATTCTCTCTCTTTTTTTAAGTCAGGACCTCACTATGCAGTCCTGGCTGGCCTGGAACTCTCTACGTAGACCAGGCTGGCCTCAAACTCACAGAGATCAGTCTGCCTCTGTCACCTAGGTGCTAGAATTAAAACTGTGTGGCACGGCCATTTCATTATTCTTATTAAGAAGTATTAGGTCTTCTGGTGCTTACCTCAGGCTGTATTCTTACATTAACCATACAGAAAGAGAAGGCAGAGCAAACCTACCCCATATACATTTCAGAATGGGAGACAAGGGGAAAATTGCTATAGCCTTAAGGTCTCAAAATACTTTTCTAGAGTCAGGTAGAACCTCCCCCAAAAAAGCCGAAGAAGAAAATTTCAACATAAGTTGTTCAGCATTTGTAAGTCAATCTAATTTGCAATCTCCAAGGATTTCATCTATAAACTCAAATTATAAGACTCTCAAGCCTAGATTAGTGTCTAATCTATATAAACTGGGCAGTGAGTTAGTAGACTGCAACAAAAAGATTGTCAGAAAGCAGAGATGCTAACCAGGCACAGTAGAAAATCTTAGCACTTGGGAGGCTGGGGAAGAATTTTGAGTTTGAGGTTAGCCTGGGCTCCATTTGGAGATACTTAACAGCCCTGTCCCTTACAGAAGAGATATTAAAAAAAACTCATTGGAGCCATGATTCTTTTTCCTTATTATTAACAATCAGAGTTTCTGATATATTTGATTTCCTTTTCCTCACAAATAATACTTCAAAACTTACTTTTAACTTGCTTTTTGATGCTTTTTGTACCATCCAACCAATGCTGAAAACAGAAAAATAAAGTTCAGTAATGTACACAAATGACAGAATTTTTAAAAATTAATTTCAAGAGTTATTTCTCATTATGACTTTGCCAATAACCACAACACAATATTTCACAAAGGAAACACTAAAATGAGCAAATTGAGAGAGGTGACTGATGGTCTAAATTTTGGTCTTAATTTTCTGCAATTCCCAAATCAATTACTCTTTCAAAACCACTAAATTAGAGAGGACTAGGGATATAGCTCAGTAGTAGAACATTTGGTTAGCAAGTTCAAGGTCTTGGGTTGGCTCCCCAGCACCACTATAAACAAACAAACATTTAGAGAGAAAAATATCTTCCTATTCCAAAGCCTCCTTTATTGCTACTCAGAAGCAGTAGTCTTTTAAAGAGCCTGCAAGGTAAAATAGAAAAAAAAAATCCACTTTTTCTTTAACTAAGACCTTGTCTATAAAACAAAGCAGTCACTGTTTCTTTGCTTTACCACTAAGAAAATGTTTCCATTTGAGCAGATTTCTGGTTCAACAGTAACAGCCTTTTAATTTATATAAGCTCTTTCTTCACTGGGAAATGCCTGTAATACAAAGAAAGAACAATTCCAGATACTTCTACTGACAAACAATTTTCAACTCAGTTCTCATTATAAAACCCTTACACCAAGCCCCGACAGTGACAGGCTGCACTGGTTCAACTAAGATATACATGACTGAGTTCACTTCAGCATGCTTTCAATTCCAAGCACCAAAAGAAGAGAGCTCTTGTGCTAACTAGTTCACAGAGCCAAGGAATCCAGTTTCAGAAACCCTGACAGGCAAAGAAGAAATGAGGCTGCACTGTTAAGAGAGCTGGAACTGTTTGCTCTCCTTGTCAGCGATGCGCTAGCCTCTACTCCCCACTCCCTCCCATGATCCCAAAGTGAATTTTACAGAATTATTATTGTGCCAACAGAGTGTCTTTCTACCCTCAAATAAGATGCTCAGTAAACATTTCAAAACCCAAACATGTTTTCTGTTTGGGTTTTGATGGTGCTGGGGACTGAACCCAGGACCTCATGATGAAAGTCACAGGTGAGCCACATCCCAGTCCTATGCAATGTTTTCTCTGGATTCCAAGTTGTATAGGCTATCTGACCATCTCTCATTTACTAAACTGCTAGACATCACCTTTTATATATATTTCAATCTAACAAATGTTTTAAATAGCCCTCCATATTCTGTTGAACAATAGGCCTGGAAGCAGGTAGAAAAAAATCCAATTAATTAGGAAAAACTCAACATAGGATAGCAAATAGTCATTCCATCCCAGCCCAGAAACCCAATAATCAAATATCCCAGACTCCCTACAGCCTAATGCCATCAAAAACCAAGAATGAAATAAAAAAACTTTTCATGCCCAGAATGTTTTCTTCCCACAGACCTGGGAGTTGCCAGGTTTTATCTCTTACACTGCAATTGGTGGAAAAAGTCTATGGCTGGTCACCTGGGTATCATCTCATTTACCCCTGGTTAGGGGATTCTTATACACAGTAATGAACACAAATGAGCGCATCTCTTCCAGGAGGCAATCCTCACTAGATAGCAACTAATGTCTCTAAAACAATTTGTATCTGACTCAAAAATTCTACATCTACAAAGTGTGCACAGAAATGACTGTATACAGCTTTTCCTACAAGGAATTACATTAGAGAAAGTAAAGACAACCTATATAGCTAATGATGGACTGGCTAAAAAAAATTAAGTATGATAGAGCATAATATAGCAATTTAGAAAAATGAATGGGTGTGGTAGAACATGCCTTTAGTTGTCTTTAGTCCCAGCACTCGGGAGGTGGAGACTGGAGGATCTCTGTGAGTTCAAGAATAGCCTGGTCTACATATCAAGTTCCAAGTCAGTCAGTGCTACATAGTGAGACTTTGTCTCGAAAACAAAACAGCAAATATTTAAAGAGCTCAAAAAATTAAAATATATTGCTATATTTTAAAGGGCATGCTATAAAGTATTATAAATGATTTCCTCAAAATATATGAAATTGCATATAGAAAATGTTTACTTTTTAGACTGAGACAACAATATCACAAAATAGCAATTGAGATGTTATTAAGATTAATGGTGGAAAAAAAATCGATGGTGATATTTTTCGTCTTACATTTTTTGGCTTTCTTGTATTTTCTACTTTATAATGGACACATTTTACTGAAAATAATCATGAACTCCTTTACTTTATAACTTTATATAGATAATACATTCATATGGCTTAATTTTTGGGTAATATTAAAAAGCAGTGGCTGGAGATGCCTCAATGGTTAAAAGCACTTGTTTCTCTTCCAGAGGATCCAAGTTTAGTTCCCCCATAAGACTTTTCACAATTCCCTATAACTCCAGCTCAAGGGGATTACAAATGCCCACTTCCAGCTGGCACCTGCATACAGCAGACAGACAGATACACAAAAGCACAGGGCCAACAGTCTCACCGCCCAATAAGACTGTCCCTATATACAAGTGAAGTTCCTCAAATGTAATTAATTCTTTCTGGTTTCTTCAAACTGAGAAAAGAAAGAAAGGAGAGAGTGAGAGTGAGTGAGTGAGAGAGAATATATGTTAGTAAAAAATGAAAAGCATTAACAGTGGACTGAAAAATCAACAGACTATAAAATTTGACAGAACAAACACAAGAAGGAAACAATAAGACAACTTACAAAAATTTTTCCTAGTTGTGACAAATTTCTCCCTTGTTAGATCTACTCAAGACTAATTTCAGGCCTGTTGAGATGGCTCAGCAGGTGAAGTCCTTGCCATCATGCCTGACAACCCAACTCAGATCTCTGGGAGCCACAAGGTAGAAGCAAAGAACAGACTCCAGAAAGTTGTCCTCTGACTTCTAAACAGCTGTTGTAGTATGCAGGCACACATACAAAGACAAAATAAGAGTTAAAAAAAAAACAACAATCCCCCCAAATGATTACACTTTTCTACTTTTGTTCATATCCTGTCCTACTATTAAGCAAAAAATCATCCCATCAGAGAAAAGGTTGGAAGCGTACCAAGTATAAACTTCAGTCTTTTCTACCTGTTGGTAACAGCTTCTAATATCCATACTCCCTTAAGACAACCCCAAACAAGCACATTTTAAAGAGCAATTTAAGAGCTGGGGGAGTTCTGGGTGATGGTTCTTCTGAGGAAGGTCTGAGTTCATGTTTGCATATTCTCAAGTCTGTTTTCTTTCCTCTCCTCCACATTCCAAGACCAAGGACTGGAAAATTCAGAGCTCAGAGACAGGCACTGATCGTACTTTCCTAGAATTATGGTCTTTAGGAGTTATGTTTAAATTGCATGAGAAGATAAAGGTGAAAGTATGCAGATACAGATTCCTGGGTGCTTAATGTAAAACTCAGAAAGTTCTCTTTCCTAATCATACCTTAAAAAGGAAACAAACTCCCTTATAACTTCCTATTTTTAAAGCTTAGTTGATAAACTTAGATATTAAAGGATGCAGAAAGCTACACTTCTTTCCATCCCAAGGAGCTGGTTATGGAAAGACGATTTACTTATGCATCTCAAAAGTTGGATAATACATAATCCCAACAGACACAACTAAACCAAAGAAAGAATCACCCAGGAAGCTTCTAAAACATCAACATACATACACACACCCTCACCCCAGGTCCTCCAGCCAAATAGTGTGCAAACAACTCTTCAGCAATTCCGATTCCCACTTCTGAACACCTGAACACCACCCAGCTCACTGAAGAAATACTTCTACTGCTCAAAGGACAAAAAGCTTCAAACAAATAAATGTTAACTCTCTTTGAAAACAACAGCCTCTATAAGAAGCATCTCTTCTGCTAAGAGAGGCTGTCACTCTGAATTATTTTAAAATAAAATTTAACACCTTAAACCATTTTAGAAAATGTTAAAAATCTATAAGAAAACAGGGCCTGTAACTCTAACAAAACATTTTAGTTTAGCATAGATTCCAATATAAATCCTTCCTGAGTGATTAATTTTTTTTAAACAGTCTGTCATAAATATTTCAAAAGAAGATTTACAACACATTTTCCATGGTATCTTTCCATATATTGTTGGTATTCTTCTCTTAGGATTTAAATAAAAGTTAAACTTGTCCTTCAAGTTGCTTTTGTTGGGGCTGAAGAGCTGGCTCAGCAGTTAAAAGTTATACTGCTCTTTCACATGATCCAAGTTCAGTTCCTAGTACCCACAGCAGGCAGCTCACAACTGCCTGTAACTCCAGCTCTAGGGGGTCTGATGTCCTCTTCTGAACCTGCACTTGAATGCACACACCAACCCAAAGACATACATATATATACATAATTAAAAAAAATATATATCTTAAAAAAGAAAAATAAAGTGCTTACATTAATAAATCAGAGATCAATGATCTATTGATACACCTCAAGTTTTAGAAGAGCAAAAACATGCCAAACTTAAACTCAGAAGGTGGGTAGAAATAATACACACGAGAGCAGAAATTAATGAAATGGTAATCCAAAGAAGAATGTAAAGTATCAATGTAACAAAGAGTTGGCTCTTTGAAAAGATGAGGCTGGCAAACCATGAGTCAAACTAATTTTAAAAAATAGAAGACTCAAATTTATAAAATTAGAGATAAAGAGAAGATACTACAACAGATAACCCCTAAAGTCCAGATGATCATACGGGACTATTTTGAAAACTTAAGTTGCGGGAAAAAAAAAAAAAAGAGGGATTAAATCCTAGACATATGATCTATCAAAATTAACCAGGAGAAAAATCAACAACTTCAGGAGATCTGTAACAAGAATGAGACTAAAGACGTAATAATGTCCCAACTAGGAAGAACCTGGGACCAGAGAGACTCACTGCTGAATTCTACCTTTAAAGATGACCAACATAGATGCTCCTTAAAGTATGACACAAAAAAGGGGAGGGGGGAGGGGAGTACTTGTAAATTCATTACTACAAAGGAAGTATTACCAAGATATCAAAACCAAGTAAGGCCTCAAC